GAATTTGTTAAAAAAAATTTAACTTCAAGACAAACTATCTGAAGTATATTTGTTTTTGAATATTTTATATTTTACAACTTTGTTAATAATAATTTACTTAAAAATAGAACTAAAAATAATATCTGTTTTGAATATTTTTATAGTATTAATTTAATTTTTAATATTATTGATCAAAAAGTTATCAAAAAGAGTTGTATTTAAATATGGGGGGAGTCAGTAGAAATAGGACAAATCATTTTTAGTGATTTTTTTTAATTTTTAAATTACAATTTCTTGACAACTATTTAACCAATTTTAATAAATTTTTTTTTATTTTAATTCTAGAGTTATCTAGAATTAAAATAAAAAAAAATTATTAGATTTAATGAAATAGTTGACAAGATATTTAAACTTAAAGTTAAGAAAACTTTTATTTAGAAAAAATTTGTCTCATTTCTACTAACCTCTCTATATATTTATAATAGTTTTACTAAAGTATATTAATAGTATTTAATACTATATTAATTTTAATTAATAAAATTATTGATTTATAATATAACATCAAAATTAGTCAAATTTTAATTTTTTTAATTTTTTTATTTATTTTGATTATAATCTTTATATTATACAAAATACTGGTATTGCTATTGATATACTTTAGTAAAACTATATTTATAATAATTAATATTATTAATTATTTAATTATTTTTATTAGAAAATTATATCTTATTCTTTTAATATATATAAAATTAGATATCTATATATAATTTTAATTTTTTAAACTATTTTTTTTAAAAAATTATTTAATTCTGTAACTTCTTTTTAAAATTTATTATTTTATAATTAATTGGTAATTTGCCAGTCAGCCAAAAAGAGGTTATAGTATAATGTAATGCAGTTTATATATAGAAATTAGGAGTTTGCAAATATGGGCTACATCATTCTAAAACTTTTTTTTATACTAAGTTAACTATCTTTAGACTTCTAATTGAAGTTGTAGAGCTTGTTTAAAGAAATCTAATGGTAGTTGAATTATTAAAATTAGCTTTGTAGATCATGAGATATCTTCAAAAAATGTTTTACTGACTATGTAAAATTCTTTTTTAACAATACTATTGTTGAAAAAGAATTTTACATAGTTGGTGAAATGTTTTTCAAAAATATCTTATGATCTACAAAGCTGATTTTGACAATTTAACTACTATTAGATTTTTCTCAATAAGCTTTACAACTTCAATTAGAAGCCCAAAGGTAATTAACTTAGTACAAAAAAAGTTTTAGAATGATGTAACCTATATTCACAAAACTCTAATTTCTATATATAAATCACAACATGTTATACTATGACTTCTCTTTGGCTGACTAGTAAATCACTAATTAATATATTTTATTTAAAGTAAATAATCTTGATTTATTATAAAGATTTTTATTTGTTTGTACTAATTTTTAAAAAGTAATTAGTTAGCTATTAATATTATAGTTTAATAAGAATATCTGTTATACTATTAAGTAGCTTTATTTATATAAAAATATTTTTATCAAATTTGAATAATTTTGATAATTATAAAATTTTATTATTATTATTATTTTTTTTGTATTAGCAGCCTCACCAGTATCTTTATTAGATCAAACAAATATACAAGATATCTTAAACTATCTAAATTATAGATCTAATATTACTTGGTTTCTTCTATAAATATTCAAGTACAGTCTGCCTTATTGGTTAAAGCTATTGTCTGTATTGGGAGCTGCATCAAGCTAGTTAACAAAACCATAACAAGATGGTTTCAAATTAAAAGAATTTTTAACTATATTTAATAAGCAATTTCTCTCTTCTAATCTATTCTTCTTTTTAAAACAATAATCTAAATCTAATTTTTTATTAATAACCAAATTCACCTTATTCTTTACTAAAAAGATATTGTCAAAGTTTTTTTAATCAGACTTATTTTTCTGTTTTTTTTTCAGTTCAATTTGTCCTTTTTGGTCAAAGTTCTAGCTCTCAGAAGTTTTTTTATATCCTTTTCTTTGTGATTTTTTCTATTTTGTAGTTTCATATTTCTTTTCTTCTTCTAAAGAGCTTGTTCTACAAGCCTTTTTAAAAGTAAACCTTCTTTTTTTCTGCTTATCCTGGGTCTTTTTTCAGTCTTTAAAATTTTAAGCCTTGATTAGTTTATTTGAGTTTTCTTTCTTTTCTATCTTGGGTTTGAGCATCTTTTTCTTTTTTTTTTCTTTTTTTTTTAAATCTGATTTTTTTTTTAGAAGCTTTTTTTGTATTTTGATAAGGATTTTTTGATTTTCAAACAGTTTTTCAAGGATCTTTTTCAAAATTTCTAATACTATATTCTTTTTTTTCTTTTTTAATTTTTGACTTCTTTTAGTTTTTCTGTTAGTATATCTTGAGTTAAAATTATATCAATATACTATTGGGCTCTTGTCCAATATATCTATTTTATAAAAAAATCTTTTTTCTTCTTTTCTATTTTTTGCTACCAATTTGTGAGTCTTCAATGCTTGCTTGATATACTATATCTATTATTTATTTTGTTAGAGTTGTTATTATAATTTCAGATTTTGTTTTTTTTCAAACCTTATTTAAAGTTTTGTTTTTGTGAGGCCTATAATATTCTGTATCTTGATTCTTTTTTTTTTTTCTTCTTTAGTTTTTTTCTTTTTTTCATACTAGTTTGCTATAACAACTTTGATAAATTCTTTGAACTATTATACTAATATTTTTAATATTGTTTTATTGTGTTACTTTTATCAGATTTTTTTCTACTTTTAAAGTTTCTTGCTCTAGCCTAATTTTAGTTTCAACTTTTTTCTTTTTATTAAGCTTGTATTTTTTTTTTAACTTTTCTTCTTATCTCATGCTAGTTACTGCTATAGCTTTGATAGTTTCTTTAAATTGATATACCAGAACCCAAGCAATCTATATAAAGGTAAGAGTTTTAAAAAATTACCAAAAATAGAAAGATCTGTACAAAATAGTTAAAATAAATATATATCTTACTTAAAGTAAAAAAGATCTGCAAAAAAAGTCAAAAAATAAGCAAATTATATTCTTACTTTTATATAGATTACTCTAGATCCTGATATATCATAGTTTTCAAAGCTATTTTATTGTATTGTTTTTGTCAATTCATTTTTTGTTTTTGAAATTTTTTGCTTCAATCTAATTTAGTAGAAATAACATAATTATGTTATTTCCACTTAATCTAGGTTATGTCTGATGACGGGATAATATGCCTGTCATCATTCAAGTGACGAATGATTCGTGCTTGCATCATCAGAGATATATTAGTATTTGCTCCATCATTCGAGTGACGAACGATTTACGCTTGTGTCGTCATTCGAGTGATGAACGATTCGCGCTTGCGTCGTTATTCGAGTGACGATTAGTTCACGAGTCTGTCGTCATACTTGGGTATCCCATAACTTATAAAAAAATATGACGACAAATTTGTATTCATGTCGTCAGACTTTATACTAACTATTATATATCGAGATGGTAGACAGCTTGTATACCCTTTAGAAGTCAAATTCGATATCGATAATCTTTTAATCGCTCATATAAATTTCCGTATATCAGCTTAATGATTCTGATCGATTTCCAGTGAATAGAAATATCCGAATTAGGTTATGATGCCCTAGTCTAGTCCTTCTGCGTTTTCTATTATAACCCAGATTCGATAACAATATTTGTATACCGATTTGATACCCATGACTGATTTCTGACGGCTATGCTATCAAACATGTATGCACAATTGCTATTGATATATACATCATAAATGTTATCGGAGGGTGTTATCAAATATGCTATCATGTAAATATACCACATAGAATTTTTAATAAAAAAATAATTGCGCACTATTGGGTATGATATCAATATCGCTATGAGTTTTCTTTAAGCACTTTTGATTTTTTTGCCATTTTCTCTAGCCTTTTTCACAGATAATAATCTCGAGATCGATACTTACTAGCATGCATTATACGTGCGTCATATTTAGAAAAAGTTAACTTACCACACTTTTTACATGGTGTACACTTAGGAGAATTCCTGTAAACTTGACAGTCTTCAACTTCATATTCCTCGTTGTATACTTCTTCGCCACCAAATAGATCAACCATATCTATGCTAAATTCTTTAACAATATATACCGCATAGAATATTTAATAAGTAAAAAAATTAATGCAATCGGGACATGCTATATGTATGCTATCTGTTACTGAAAAATCTTTAGTGACAACTTCGGTGACAACTTTGGTAATAGGTTTATTATTAAATTTTGGCTTTAAATTCTTTTTTATCTTGTTCTTATATACTGTCACCAAAGTTACTGAAAATAAAGTAAAATCCTAGGAAAAAAATAAAACTTTTTCTTATAGTATACCTTTGATATATACCCGATATATATATTATATATCTACCTTTGATATATATATATATATATATATGTAATATACCCATATATAAAAAAAAAGAAAAAAAGCTAGAGAAATTCGATCTTTTTTAGAGTTTTTAGTAACAGACATCTAGAAAGCTTTCTAAAAGTTTAAAAATGCAGAATTTGATAGAGATCTCGACTCTGAAAATTTTCTGTCACTAAAAAATTTCGGTGACACTTGGCTATACTAAGATATCACATATATACTTACTATGTATTTTTTATGACCCTTTAGGGTCACCTCTTTGGGCCTGCAGAGCAATGGTTCTTCGAACCTATAACACTATTTTGTGCTATCTTCTCCAGCTTCTTCTGCTGATATCGATCCCGTCTTTGATATTTATCTGCATAAGTATCACAATAATCGTAATCGGAATAAGTCAACTTACCACATTCTTTACAAGGTACGTGTGGTAGAGAATTCCAGTGAACTTTACACCCTTCAGGCTGATAGCAACCTCGATTGCAAACTTTTCCAGTTCTAAGAATATAGGAGCAATGATAAAATGCCATATTTATATAATTTTGATATGGTTATTATCTACTGATAACTATTTTTTAGAATTAATTTTTATTTTGAACTTTTTTTTCCAGAATAATATACTAGCAGTAAAATATACTTATCATAAGTACCCAATATTTCCAAGAAAACATCGATCACATGCCAGCAGAATCAGAAGCACTACCTTATCAACCAGAGAGCTCAGAAAACTCGGAAAATTTTGAGCCAGAGATAGAGGATGAAAATAACAGGGCCTTCTACCACCAGGGGGGCAAAGCTTTTTCTCAATCACAGATTTTGGACAATGGAAAAACCAGTCAATTACTCCGATACTTTGGTGAAGATTATTTGATAGGTATTCCAACCCGTGACAATTTAGT